TGCTGAAAAAAATACTTTCTTTAAATATAGTTAGCTATTTCTTCCTGCAAATATATATGTACGGCAGATATTTTAGTCCAAATAGGCTTGGAAATATTTATGTAATTCTTTATTTCATTATAGTTTTGCACTGAGGTGGTTTCGCTTAAATCAAATGACTGGAGGCATAAATCAGAAATTAGCAGAGGATTCACATTTAACAATGTCTCATTAATTATAGCACAAAATCATAGCCCTATAAACTAATGAAGTGGTTAATCAAATCTGTCTGAACAGTAGCATTACTCATTGGTGGAATTATTTCACTGTAAAATCTGCATTTGAGCGCTTCCTTTTAGGGGGAGAGAAATGGAAGCTAAAATAAGGGCCCTGCCCACAGGAACTTCCAGCCTACCAAACGGAATCTTAAAACCCGCTCTGGTTTTGGAAAGGCTTTTCATTGGCTACAGGATTTAGGAAACACGGAGCATAGCTTTCCCGTCTCCCCCCGCCCCGCACCCCCCTCCCCCACACGGCTTGCCCAAAATAGGCGGGGGCGGGGATAAGGGGAGCGGAGGAAATTCGGGGAGCGGGAGAAGTAAAGCCGCCTCACGCCTCCCCAGGTGCTGCACCCTCTAGGTGTTCCGTGAAACTTCCAGGGCATTTTAGGCCTGGAAACCTTCTAGCAACTCGTCCTTCCAGGCGCCCAGGAGCAAGTGGCAGATTACCCCCCGTACCGACCGTGTACGCATGCGTGTGACTGGGTTGCTAGCGTGCGTGTGACGTCACGAGCGCGCCAGTCTGAACTCTTCCGGGTTTCTCTTTAGAGCGCTGGTCAATTTCCAAGTACGTTTGGAGTTCGTTGCTTGGGTACAAGGTGAGTCGGGACCTGAACCAGTATTATGAAGAGACTGATTTAATTTAGATAAAAATTTGGAGAAGTTATTGCAGAGAAACTCTTCGTACTTGTCTTTCTTGTGAGCTTGCTGTGTTGACCATCTTGCTTGGCGTTTTTTGAGCAGCTGACTTGAGTTAATGCAGGACCACCACCCTCCCCCCCCGCCCTCTAGACGGTCAACTGGCTTGGAGAAGCTTGGTGGGCACACACTAAAATTAAATATCGACACTAGCTCGTGTCCCAGACAAGAAGTTTGAGAAAAAAGATTGAATCTGCAATGCACAAGTTAACATCAGTTCAATGGTCGTTTCTTTCGATTGCATAGGGGCTGGAGGGGGGGAGGCAACTGATATATTTTGGAGTAATAAGCTTTTGGTGCACAATTTGCCCACACAATATTACAACTGCCAAAGGGATTAAAAAACAAACCCAAAACTTTTCAACCTCCCTTCCTTTCCCCAATAGTCTACATTTTAAAGCACAGTGGTAAAGGCAATTGCTAGTGCGGTGTTTATAGATCCTAAAACTGGCTTTTAGAAGTAGTTCTTTAAATACAAAACTAAATAAAAAAGGGTTAAGTTTCAATGCCTTAGGAGGATGCGTGTATTGATCCCTGTAATAAAATTATAGCATAATCCATCCTTCCTCCCTCTCCCCCAACAGTGATGACTAACTTAAAGGACAGGAAAAACAAAACTAAATCAAAGAAGCTTAAAGCAAATTATTGACTACATTTTGGATAAAACACTGGGCTTTGTGTTTTCAGCAGTAAGCTATCAACTTCCCTAACTGAATTTGCTTTCCACGGCACTGTGAAGCAGATCTGATATGCCACTTGAATTAATAAAAGAAGTCAAAGGACTGCCTGAAGTTGATCTGCTAAGTAAATTACACAAAGTAGATTTCAGATACCTACAGCCAGGTTGTGATTATAGCAGGAAATATATCGAGGTAAGAATTTTCATAACTCAGAATAGTTGTCTTTTGTTTTCAGCGGTTGGATTGTCAAGTGCCTAGGTGTGGTTTCTCTTTGAATTTCTCTTGCTTGTGGGTAACTGAGCTTCTTGGATCCACAAGTCAATGTTTTTCATCAAATTAGGGATATTACTGGCTAATGTTTCTTGGATTTTTTTTTTTTTTTTAGTATATTATTACTCATTTCTCCTGGATGTCGGTTACATGTATGTTTGTATGTTAGGCTGTTTGATGTTGTACTTCTGGTCTCTGAGGTAGTTTGTTTTTCTTTAGTACTATTTTGTTTTTGTTTTGTTTTTTGGCTGAGGGATTTTCAGATTGTGGAATTTCTATAGTTCTGTCTTTAAGTTTACTGAACTTTATTTTTGGTTATATCCAATATTCTTGTATGCATATTTAGTGAATTTTTAATTTTAGTTATTGTATATTTAAGTTTTGGACAAAGTTAAGAATGCTGGGAAGGAGGTAAGGGACTTACTGATAAAATGGGTCTGATAGTAAAAGAAGGAGAAATAACGCCACACTTCAGTTTTGCCCTTCTAATCAATATTCTCCATGTAGACATTTATCTTTTATTCCTTTGTTTATTTTCCATTTTCCTTATATTTTCTTTCATATGAAATAGAATATTACGTATTACAGTTGGTCTTCTCTACTTCATTGAATTTAAATTCCTAATCAAATGCTTGTTAGTATTTGTAAACTCATTTTGCATTTGGTTGATTCGGATGATGTTTCTTGCATACTTGTATTTATTAATAAAGTGCTGTGATTAGATTCCTTTTCTTTGTGACAAGTCGTTAATACTAATTATTACTGAGCTGTATCTAACTTTATCATTCTTCTCTTATTTTGTGTGTTTGATATAGAAACATTTAAATGAAATATTTTTTAAATTCTAGCACTTTTATTAGTGTTACTAAAATAAACCCTTTTAGATATAAGTAAAATGTCAGTTTGAATTCTTAAATTCCTTTGTCTAACCTGCACGTGTCTGTAGATATCTCAAGAAACATATTTATGTTTCTTGAATTTTATTAAATACATTTTACTGTGAAATTCATTGTTTTTAGTATACAGTTCTGTGAGTTTTGAGAGAGATATAAAAACGTAGAACTACAACCATAATTAAGCTATAGAACAGATGATCACCCTCCCCCCAAAAATTTTATAGTCAGCTGCTACCCTAATTTCAATCCCTGGCAACCACTTTTGACCAGTTTTCTGAGAGTATACAGTATTCTTGCCTTTCAAGAATGCCATGTAAATTGAATCATACAGTATGTAGCCTTTTATTTGTTTTTAATTGAAATATAGTTGATGTACAGTAGTATATGTTACAGGTATCAGCAGGTAGCCTTTTGATTCTGGCTTCTTTCACTCAAGACATTTGAGATTCTTCAGGTTGTTGAGTTTATCAATAGTATTACTTTTTTTTTTTTTTTTTTTTTTTTTTTGGCGGTATGCGGGCCTCTCACTGCTGTGGCCTCTCCCGTTGCGGAGCACAGGCTCCGGACGCGCAGGCTCAGCGGCCATGGCTCACCCGCTCAGCCGCTCTGCGGCATGTGGGATCTTCCTGACCGGGGCACGAACCCGTGTCCCCTGCATTGGCAGGCGGACTCTCAACCACTGTGCCACCAGGGAAGCCCAATAGTATTACTTTTTATTGGTTGCTAGAATTCCATCACAGTCTGTTTATCCATTCCCCAGTGTAGCAGTACTTGGATTCTTTCCAGTATTTTGTAATGATGAATAAAGCAAATTAAAAAATTTATTCTAATTTTTACTTGTATCTTGGTATTATAATCTCTTTTGGCTTTTCTGTGTAATTGTTTTTCTCGTTTCAGGGAAAACTCTCACTTATCTCTTCTTTAACTTATGGTGGAAACAGAAGAGCTGTTTTGAAGATTGGACTACAAGGTATATAAGAAGACCACTTCTGCTTAACTTTTTGCTTATAATCTGGAAATGGGTAACTTTGTATATGTATACATATACACATAAGCACAAAAATCATTTCTAGTATAAAAATCTATGGAATGAAAAGTTATTCTTTTCCTCTCTAAATTTTTTTCTCCGAAGTCTATCCTCTCCCCATTCTGCCATTGCTTCTGTTTTACTTCAGATTCCTTTAACGTCCTATCTAGACTATTACAATAACCAACTCATCCCCCTACTTCTAGTTTCACTAATGTGACCCAAACAGCTTAGCAAATTTTAAGAAAATGCTACTTTCAGCATGTTATTTCTTACCCAAGTGTAGTTACATGAGAGATAATTCTTCTTCCTGGTAACCCTTAAGTAATCCTAGTAAGAGCTTAGAATACTTGGGGACCAAAGTAAATCTCATCTGAACTCTGAAATTAGTTGAATGAATGAAGAATGGTGTACAGCAGTGAATGGGAAACAAACTTTGAACCACATTTCTACAACTATTGAAAACCAGATATATATCAGACACTGTTCTAAGTACAGGGAATATAGCAGTGACCAAAGCAACGTTCTTGCGTTCATGGAGTTTACATTGTAGGGGAATAAATAAATTCAACAAATAATTATATAAAGTAATAATTGATAGAAATGTGGTTTGTAGACACATAGAGCAGGATAAGGTGGTATGCCTGACGTATTATCCTTTTATATATTCCTAGGTATGACTTGCTAATATTTTGTTAAGGATTTTTGCATTTAAATTCATGAAAAATATGATAGGAATCTGTCTTTTCCTATAGTGATTGGTAATTTATGTTTCAAAGGGAATTTATCAGGTCATCTTGGTTGTCAGATATATTGGCATAAAGTCATTCATAATATACTTTTTATATGCTTTTAATGTTGGTAGGATCTGTAGTGGTGTCCCATTTCACTGATTTGATAATTTGAGACTATTTTCTCTCTCTCTCTCTCTCTTACTTTTTTTTCTGATCATTCTGACTAGAGATTTATTTTACTGATCTTTAAAATCAGCCTTTCTTTTCATTAATTTTTCTCTATTTTCCAGTTTTCAGTAACATTTCTTCTCTGTTAATCTGCTGTTAACTCCAATCAGTGTACTATTAACTTCTGATATTGTATTTTTCAACTCTGGAAGTTCATCTTGAGTTTTTTCATATCTGCCAGTTCTCCTCATCTATTTTCTTCTACTTCCTTGAATATGTACTTTTAATAACTGTTCCAAAATATTCTCTGGCAATCCTATCATCGCTGTCATTTCTGAGTTTTTTTCTATTGATTCCCTGCCCCCCCCCACCCAATCCTTATGTGTTTTTCTTTTCTGTATGGTTGGCAGTTTTTTAACTGGATCCTGGACATTTAGAATTTTATATTATCAAATATTGGATTTATTTGTAATCCTTTAAATATTATTTGTCTTTGTTTTGGAATACTGTAAATTCTCTTGGAATCAGTTTGATTAGCTTTGTTAGGATGGGTGTAGAGCAGCCTTTATTTGGGGGCTAATTTGCCCTTATCACTAAGGAAGTGCCCTTCTGACAAGTTTACTGTGTGTTTTGTGTATGAGGATTCCACTCTGGCTGGTTGGAACCAGAACAGTTCACAGCCCTGTGTGAGTCTCAGAATTGTTCTGCCTGTTTCTTTCAAGTGGTTCTAATCTCTTTCCTCCCATGCTTTTGTAGATCAGTACTCAACCAAAGACCAGAAGGCACCCATCTCCAGAGCGCTCTTATCTATGCTGCTGTCTTCCTTTCAGCACCATGTCATGCAGATTCTAGCTGCCTTGCTGTCCTCAAATCTGAACTCTTCTGAATTCAGTGAGGCTGTTGGGCTTTCTTTGGATTTTTACCTCCATTTTCTGCTGCCTGGAAATTCTTCCTAGGAAGTAAGCTGGGGCTATTGCTTTGTTTTCCGTCTCAAAGAGATCACTTACCTGCACTTACTGTTGTCCAGTGTCTGAAAACTGTTTTCAGTTTTATATATATTTTCTTACTTTTCTAGTTGCTTTAAGGCCGGAGAACAAATCCCGTCCCTGTTACTCTGTCATGGCCAGAAATAGACATTTGATAGGTCATTTAAGATATTAAAGAAGTAAGTTATATCTTGATTAGAAGCCATTGTATTTTTGTTTTTAAGGAACATTAGTGTTTCAGTTTATGTATATACTTGAGGAGCTGGATGAAAAAGGTAAGTGAAAGGAGGCAATAGGCAGATGTAGTTGTTTCATTGCTGGTGATAAAGTAGCAGATTCAAGAGTTTTAAGTTACACTGCAAATTTTAGAAAGATCTTTCATGTACTTCATAGATACATGGAAGTCTGATATGAAAGCAGTTTCTTCGAGTAGTTGAATGTTTGAAAGCTTATATTAACGCGACCTCCCTCAGATGATATAGTAATTGAATCTTAGTATTTGGACTTGCTTCAGTGGTTCTAGGAGGTGGCCTCTGAAGAATGAAGATTATGGAGATTCTTTATCAAAGCCTAGAATATACAAATGAGATTACTGTAAAATGTTTGTTTCTTCGTTTCCTAGTAATTTTCATTGTCAAAATCACAGATAACTTGGTTTTTACACACACATGCTCTTTTATTCTCTAATATGCGGGTGCTGGGGGAGAAGAACACACTTCCCTATATTAAAACTTCATGTTCTAATAATTATAGATTACCAGAAGATCAGTAAAAATGAGGTATTTGGGGAGTGATATGTCATACACTATAAAAACTGAATAATTGTAACTTATTCAGTTCTTTTGATCATAACCACGTGAAAATAAATTGAAAGTGGTCATTATATGATGTTGAGGTAGTATTTACAGAAATTTGTAAAACGTATTTTAGGTGAAACTAGTTTTAATTTTGGTTTTGACGCCTAGTAGCATTCTATACATTATTTTTATGATACTTAAGGTGTTGAGTAAACTACAAGTGAATTATAAACGTTTTAATTATTCTTCTTCATAATTATATTTTGAATTACCTATAGTTTTTAGAATTTAGTTGTCATCAATTTTCTTGTCTAGAGCACCTTTATATCTAAAGTGTTTTTCTGTGTGTCTGTGTTTCTCTACAGAACAAGAAAATTCAAATTCGGATATCAACACCCTCAGTGTATTATTTTCTGGAAAATTAGCAAAGGACTGTGCTAAAGTTTTCTATGAAGGGGTAAAGTATTTTTATATTACTTTATCTTTTTTGCAGTAGACTTAGAATTATTGAAGATGCTGTATTTATCCTATAGGCCATATTTTAGTGATTCATTATATATTTGTAGGTATATAAAAAAATATACTTAAAAAAGCAACATCTTTAAAATTGAACACTCGTAAGAGGTTAGTAAAACTTATCATTGACATAAAAAGGGACAATTTTTCCTCTCACTTAAGTTTAATTTTTAGTGTTCAATAGAATATCTTAAAGATATATACATTTTCTCTTCACTTAATTAAAAAATAATTCTAACTAAAAAATAATGAACTATAACTCTATTTTTGTAATATTTTCTATAATTGTTATAAAAAGAAATGCCTGCTAAATCCCCAGCAAGATAATACCAAACCAAACACAACAGCATATTAAAAGGAGTAAACACAATGACCAAGGGGGATTTATCCCAGGAATGATGTTTGGTTCAACATAAGAAAATCAGTCATTGTAATACATCACAGTAATAGAGAAAAGGGAAAAAAACACAAACGATCATCTTAATTGATGCAGGAAAGGCATTTGAAAAATTCTACACACTTTCATAATCAAAACACTCAGAAAACTAGGAATAGAAGGGAACTTCTCAACATAGTAAAGATCAATTATGAAAAGCCTACAGCTAACATCATACTCAGTGGTGAAAGACTGAAAGCATTCCTCCCAAGGTTAGGAACAGGACAAGGACGCTTGCTTTCACCACTGTTATTCAACGTTGTACTGGAACTTCTAGCCAGAGCAACCAAATAAGAAAGAAAGAAAAGACATCTAAATTGTAAAAGAAGTAAAACTGTCTCTCTTCTCAGATGACATGATCTGATATATAGAAAATCTTAAAGAATCCAAAAGAAAGCTACTAGGGCTAATACATGAATTTAGCAATGTTGCAGGTTACAAGATCAGCACACTAAAATCAGTAGCACCATCCAGTAGAACTGTTTGCGATGATGGAAATGTTCTATATCTGTGCTGTCAATATGGTAGCCACTAGTCATATTTGGCCAATGAGCCCTTAAAATATGGCTAGTACAGCTGAGGAACTAAATTTTAAACTTTGTATAATATCATTTTAATTAAATTTAAATAGCCACATATGGCTAGTTGATACTGTACTGGACAGCACAGCTCCAGAAATTAACCACTGTTTGGTGTATAATCTTACAGATTTTTTCTGCATGCGTATTAAAATGATTTAAAATTAACTTTCTGTAAGAATCTCATAACATCTTTGATGTTAATTGGAGATCCTCTAGATATTTGCAAAACCAGTTTTGGTAATTAAACAATATTGAAGCATATAGCTGTAAAACATTGTTGAGTCATTGATAAGTCTCCAAATAAGTTGCTCAGAGTTAGACAGTACTTCTATAATGATGTTGCAGGAATATTAGATATATGGTTTCAATCCTTTTTGATTTATGGTTGTTGCTAACAAGTAAATGACGTGGGAAAAAACAATGTTTCTGCAAAATGGCACAGTCAGATGAGATTGTCTATACTCTGTCTCTTTTTTCATTTAGGTTCAGTAAACATTTATTAAGGGCTGACATTTTGCTTGACTCTGTGCTAGGCTCTGGAGAAACCAAAATGAATAAGACACAGTGCTTGCCCTTATGGAGTCCACTATCTCTAGCCTAATGGAAAATCATTTAATGGTGGTAACTTTAATAGAACTGGAATAGCAGCCTCAATAAACTGAATCTGCCTGGAGGATTTGGGGAAGAACATCAAAGAGTAGGCACTTAGTTTTTAGTGGAATATTTTATTTGTTAGTCTTTAAACTTTTTATTATGAAAAATTTCTGACATATATATAAGTGGTAAGAATTGTATAACAACTGTCCATATTCCAAATATCTAACTTCAGTTATCAGCATTCAGGCTCTTATTTCATCTGTTTCATCGTTTCATTTTACTGCCACAGATTATTTTGAGGCAAATATCAGGAATTACATAATTTAAACCCTAAAAATTTCAGTATGTAAAAGAGAAATCATCCTAAAATTATATGTGTATGTGTATGTATATATACAAATGAATACATACCATAGTACAATTATACTACTGAAATATTAACATCACCTTTTATAAACCATGAAATATCATCAGTGTATTCATGTATATATACACATATATCTATGTATATCTATGTGTCTTACTATCTATTTGAATAAACACAATTTCATCATTATGCCTAAATAATTTAACAGTAATTCCTCTATATAATCAAATATCAAGTCAGTGTTCCAATTTCCCTGATTATCTCATAAGTTATTTTTAAGTTTATTTTTTTCTACCAGGAGGAGACTTCAGGTAGGGAACTCAGTGAGGAGACCTTAACAGTAATTCAGAAGCTATTGTGGATGTATAAAGACCAAAACTAAAGCATTTGTTGAATTGACCTAGAATTGATTAGTTATATATGTGTGTGTGTTTGTAGTTTGGAGAACTGACCTAAGAAAACTGTACGATTTATGTCAGAGAACGTTTTGCCTGTGTTCTCTCCTAGGAGTTTTTTGCTAAGTTTCTGTAAGGAGGTGGTAAATCAGTTAATTTTTTCTTAATTTATAATTTGAACAAAGAAAAGAATTAGTATAGTGATTTTTTTTCTCAGTGAAAAGCTGTTATTAAGTCAGTGGTATATCTTAAAATCTTACTTCACAATTTGAAGAAATCAAATAGGAGTTGCCATGCAATTCATGAAATCAAATAGTTGCCATGCAATTCATGTCCAGAAATTCCTAGGACAGTTCATTAGACTGTTCCTCTTCAGAATGATAACTAGACTAATTTTCGACGCAATTTTAAAAACTTTGAATGAGATATAGTTTTAATATGGTTGGTATGGCACTGTGAAGTTCTAGAGGCAAGTATACTAAAAAAGTACTATCTGACAGTCTTATCAAGAAAGGGGACTAGGAAATAAAGTATATAAAGCATGTGTACACACACACACACACACACACACACACACAAAATCATACCTGCTTGAGGCCGTTTAGGTAGGGTAGGATCCAGTATCTCTACATAGCTATTTTGATGAGGCACTTTTGTGGGTGGCTCCAGTAAAGGCCTGTTATTGTTCCTTATTATTATTCTTCTTGCCCTTAAAGGCATGACTTTATTTCAGCTTTGTTAAAATATTACAGATTGCAAAGTGCTTCCATATACGTTTATCATTCGAGCCATTAGTAACCCTCTGTCCTGATGGTCAGTAGTACAGTTATTCTAAAGCTAACCTTCTAGTAAGTACAGAAGCTACTCTGTCTCCACGACTGTATTTTTGTCCTGCCTCAAGGAGATATTGTGGACTTGAATTAGGTCTTGGAAATATTTGCCTTAGAAGATTTTGTTCTTCTTGTGTGGCCATGGTTTTAAAAGCATTTAAGCAGCATGGAAGGGCATAACCAGAAAAGCAAAAGCTGCCCCACTCCCTCTGAACCCACTCTCATTACCTACTCCCATTATTAGATAAAACCACTGCTATGTCTTTTTTTTTTGGTATCCTTCCAGCTTTTATATATGTGTGTATATATGTATACTTACATATGTATGTATGTATCTTTATATACATATAAGCATATATGTACATTTTCTACCAAATGACATCATACAATCCATGTTTTGTAAATTGCTTTATTTCACAACGTATCTTGGACGTGTTAGAGAAGTGTTTTAAAAATAAATACATGGTATTGAATATTAGGGATCTGTTTGCTTATAATTTAAATACGTTTTTATCTTTATCCTTCCTTAACATTCTTGTATTTATTAAATTCTTACCTGAGAAATAATATAAAAGGTTTATAATATAATGAGTTAGCAAAACATGTACATTTATCTATAAAACATGTATGATATATTAGATATTATTATTTTTCCTAACTGATATGAAAGGTGTCTTCTGCTTTTGAAATATATTTTAAATAGGTATTCATTAAAATAGAATAGAACCATACAACTAATTAGTACTTGTCAGATAATAGGGTGTTAGTAATGGTAAGTCAAGGTTTCTCCTTTTAAAATATAATGGTGAGAAGACTGAGGTCACAATTTAGTTTAAATTCTTTCTGCATTTAAAATCAGGAATGTTGATCATTTGGGAGGTCTAATTAGGCTATTTATTTTAGAGTTTATAGTATTAAGGTTAAAGATTGTTGCAAACCAAAGGTAAAACTTTTTGCATAAAAGAATGAATTTTTATTGTGTGGTGGATGGACCTAGAGACTGTCATACAGAGTGAAGTAAGTCAGAAAGAAAAACAAATACCGTATGCTAACACATATATATGGAATCTAAATTTTAAAATGAATAAATAAATAAATAAAAGAAAAAGTAAAAAAAGAAAGAGAAAAAAGGAAAAAGGTCAGGAGAACTTAGGGGCAAGACGGGAGTAAACATGCAGACCTACTAGAGAATGGACTTGAGGATACGGGGAGTGGGAAGGGTAAGCTGGGACAAAGTGAGAGAGTGGCATGGACATATATACACTACCAAATGGAAAATAGATAGCTAGTGGGAAGCAGCCACATAGCACAGAGAGATCAGCTCGGTGCTTTGTGACCACCTAGAGGGGTGGGATAGGGAGGGTGGGAGGGAGGGAGATGCAAGAGGGAAGAGATATGGGAACATATGTATATGTATAACTGATTCACTTTGTTATAAAACAGAAACTAACACACCATTGTAAAGCAATTATACTCTAATAAAGATGTTTAAAAAATTTTTTTAAATAAAAAATAAATGTGGACATACACAGGGTAAAAAAAAGAATGAATTTTTATGGCTCGATTCTTACTCCTTTCTTCTTTGTCACTTGTTTCCTTAAGATTAGCTCTGTATTTGAATACAGCAATCCTAAAACATCTTTGCTTTGCTAGATTAATGGTACATTTTGTGGGAATACAAATGGTCTAATTGAAATTCCCTCCATCTGAGGCATTATTTTCAGTTTTAACTTTC